ACCAAGTTTCCCCACCCCTGATGCTACTAACATGTGGGGCTGGATAAATATTTCTCGGGTATTTGCAGGGTGTTGAGCAGCATCCCTGGCCTCTACCCACTAGATGCCAGTAGCACATCCCTGACCCTGAGTTGTGACAATCAAAAATGTCTCCACACTCCACCAAATGTCCCTTGAGGGGGGGACGGGGGAGGGCCGGAGCGATAAATTTGCTCCCAGTTGAGAGCCACTGGATTAGACCGAGGCTGCAGTCCCACTGAGCATGAGCCAGCTATTAAACTAATGACAGCTATTAGCCGGATTTCCCACATAACCCCCGTGATCAGCATGACATTGCTGAGACCCAAGATTCCCTTGGTCCTGTCAAAATGCTCGCCCTGCTGGACATGAGTGTGGCTCAGTGGCTCCACATTGAAACCCCCTTTCTCCTCTTCCACTTCCTCAGTCCTTGCCCTTCACCTCTGCAGGAGAAGGTAATTCCTTATTCATCTTGACGTTATGATGACACGAAGGCATCAGAGGAGCTCGAAGGAACCAACACTGTAATTGACTCTAAGGAAAACTGGCACTGTTTTTATAGGAAGCCAGATATAATATGCAACAATTTCAGAACACTATTCCAGCAGTCTCTTTGCCTGGCTAACGCTTTCTCAGCCATAAGCTCTCAGCCCGAATCTTCCCTCCTCAGCTTGAAACTCACCTCCAGGGAGAGACCTCCCTGCACCGTGCCCACTCACTCTCCTTTGCTAACGTGCCTGTCTTATTCCTGTGCACTTACTACCCCCTGAGAGGATGGGCATTTCTATCTGTGAATTCACCATCTGACTCCCACAACCAGAATGGGTGCTTCATCGGCAGGGAACCTCCTGACTTGCTCATTCTTGTAACTTCACTTCAGCATCTCCCACAAGGCCTGCCCCAACCTCCTGGCCCCCAAACTATTTATTGAATAAGGGAATGGGTGGGTGGATTTACAACGGCATAACATCTGAAATATTGATTTCCTTCCATCCCTGCTCATTCTCCTTGTGAGCGCTGTGCACCATCCTTAGGGGCCCCAGCGTCAACTTTCAATGATATGAATGTAACTGTCTCCCCTTCTCCTCCAGTTAGCGGATCAAAGAAATTCAAGAGTCTGATTGGTCGTCCCAGGCTGAGCTGTCAGGAGTTTTCCTCCCAATGCCCTGGATCTTCAGGTCCTGAGAGGGATCTCAAGAAAACCAAGGTCTGTGTCCGTCTAAGTGGGGCCAAGTTCGCAAAGAGCCAGACTGACAAACTTTTACTCTAGGGAAGAGGGCCTTTATGACAGCTCCCAGGGCACCGCCGGGTTTGAGCAGAGGCCAATAACTAATTGGCAGTGAAGCTGCTGGGGAGAAGGGAGGCAGAGAAGCTAAAATGAAATGACAAGAGGACTTGTCAATTGGGAGTGGATTCCGAAATGATAGACTATCTTGGGGGGAGGGGAGGAGAGGGGGAGGAGGTCAATGAGAAAGAGGAAACCAAATAGTGAGAATTCAAATTTTTCACAACACTACTGATACACAAGGAAATGTTTCATTTTTGCTGCCTGCAAATAAATGTTGTATTGGGTCCTTTGCTTAAACCAGTTTACCCACAAGTCCTATGACAACCTATCTATCAAAGAACTACTCACTGTGTGGAGCAATGTAACTATTTATCTATATATCTACATTCACCATCAACCTATTGCTCTTCCTATTTATCTACATACATCCATGGATTCTTGTAGAAAGTTCCTTCCTTCCTTCCTTCCTTCCTTCCTTCCTTCCTTCCTTCCTTTTTTCCTTCCTTCCTTCCTTCCTTCTTCCTTCCTTCCTTCCTCTTTCTTTCCATGGACCTTGGGCAGTTTACATCAAAGCCCAGCCCTCCAGCTCTGCCTGAGCATTAGCAAATTCTTCTAGTGGTCAAGGCAATTGGAGAAATGGGCAGAGGTGGAGAAGATTCTCATGGCATATGGCTCTGAGTCTGACACCCTCCAGTGCTATATGCCTCCTGTGTGACCTTGGACAAATTACGTAACCTCTGTTCCTTATCTGAACTGGGGATCACAAGAGCACCGATGTAATTAGGGCATTTAGGGGATCCAATGGGAGAAGCCAGTTAGTTCTTGGCGAACATCAGTGGGAGTGAGGATCATGATGATGCCACCAGGCCGATAACCAAATTCCAACTCCTCTCAGGCTTTTTTTCCCCTCCCTTTCTAAGTCACCTGGTTCCTGGGTAACTGCCATCTGGGACGAGGGAATATTCCCCACCATAGCCAGGCTTCCCTGGTGCCCCCCAGGGGCTGCCCGCTGAGGGGAAAGCTGACACCAGGGATTTCAACCTTTCTCGGCTTCCTCATTCTATTAATCTGGCCGTTAAGGAGAGAGTCCTGCTGATCCAACAGATGCAAAGCTCTGCTGTGCTAACGGCAAAGAGCAGAGCTTAGAGTCGTCCTCGGCAGCCCATTGATCTGTCTCCCCCAACTCAGAACAGCTGCATGGGGCAGATTCGCCAAGCACCGGGAAGAACGGTGCAATGCCTACCTAGGAGAGAGGGGGTGCATAGAGCCAAGGGCCCCCGGGTGGCCCTGCACACGTGAAGTCCCTGGCATGTGGCATAGGGACGTGGGTGGCAGTAAAATCCAAAATGCAGGTCGACCTGTGGCACCCGTGCTGCAGGATGGAGCAGGTCATGCCTTTCCTAGGAGCAAAGGGCACTGGGAGGTAAGGAAATGGGCGCTGACCAGGGGCTCAGAGCAAGCACATTGGCCACTTCCTCTGCGTGGCTGACTCTTCCAAGCTCAGGCACAGCTGCCATCTTGCTCATGCCACGTGGCTAATATTTGGGGCACCCCTTTCTGCCAGAAAACGCTTCCCTGCCCCTCCTGCCTGACCTGCTTGCCGCAGCTGAATAGGATCCCGTCGTGACTCACACGATGGGCCGAGGCCCAGCACCAAGTGAGATCTGGCCACAGGCTTGTGCCAACAGTTTAAAAAAACAAAAACAAAAAACTGCACTTTGGTTGGGTTCCAGTGTCCCTTTAACATGGGAAACCAGAAGTCGGGAAAAGACAACAACATCCGACGGCTCCCCAGAGACCAAGAGCCAGATGAGACTGACGGCGTGCTGTTTGGAGACAAATTGAGTCATTTCCCCAGTGGCGTGGCACAAACGCGGAAAGCCCTCCTCGTGCCACGGCCGGCTGCAGCGCGAGGCTCGGGTCCCCTGAGTCGTGCCTGTGACTCTTTAAGAGAGGTCTGGGTCGGGGTGAGCTGTCACACTCACAGTGTGCCGGCCAAAGCCGCTGGCACGTGACTGCTCTTTCCCATGGACTTCCTGAAGGGCCGATTAGCCGGTTTCCACAGCGAAGGACTCAGGAGGGCCAAGGACAGACCACAGGGGGCAGCGCCACGCCACCCCCAGGAAGTGAGATTTGGCTTCCAGAGTCTGGACACAGACTATTTTCCCAGGGGGTATTCCCGAGTTGAATGAGTTTTCCTGGTGGGGAGGAACTGATAAAGAAGAGAAGAGGCATCATGTGTAAAGCGCCCTGGAAGGTCGCTCACAATCTGCTGGGTGGCCCAGGGAGAGACCCGTTCCCCAAGTGCAGCACACTGACATCTAACGGACTATCTTTACTAGTAGGTGCTTTTAGAATAAGGTGACCAGACATCCGGCTTTTGGTGGGACAGTTCCGATTTTTAACAATTTGTCCCGTGTCCCGTGGTGTTTTAAAACAGTCCCGATTTTTGGAAAGAATCTTTCCAAGTAGTAACTCATCCCACAAGGGGACATAAGAATCTTTCCAAAAATCGGGACTTTTTTAAAACTCCGCGGGACGCGGGACCAATTGTTAGAAATTGGTACTGTCCCACCAAAAAGCGGGATGTCTGGTCACCTTATTTTAGAATAAGGAACTTTTAAATTGTATTGATTTAATATTTATTTTAACGTTCTGTAAAAACAAATTTAACTAGCATGCCAAACTTGTGGTTTCACAGATATTTTTGCCGGAGACAGCGTCTGTCAAGCTTGGCACCACAGGCAATTTTAGGCTGGATAATTCCTTGCTATGCAGAGGTCCTGTGCATTGGGGGACATTTAGCAGCATCCCTGGTCTCCACTGACTAGTTGCTAGTACTAACCCATCCCACAGGGGGACATAACCCAGAATGTCTTCAGACATTGCCTAATGCCTGCTGGGGGTCAGAGATACCCCTGATTGGGAACCATTAGCTTAAGATCAATCTACTTCTGAAATTAAAACACAAAAATTAACTTAAGGAAAAATAATATATTTAGGTGATGTGATAGAACAGGTGTAATTTACCCATGGCAAGCAAACATGGCCGAGGTGATAGATGAATGAAGAAATTTGGAAAAGCCAGGTCAGAGGATGACCAAACAGGCAGGGTCCTTAAGCTCCTCAAAGCCCCACCCACTGCTCTTTCCTGCCAGCTCTGTGGTCTGGTCACCCCTGAAGCCAATATAACTGAAAGTGTATGCTGGGAAATCTGAGGACAGAACGAACACAGAGAAACCCTAAGAATCCTCTATCCCAACAACATCCGGCCTTCCCGTCCTGGTTCTTTCTGTGGTATTTTCTTTCTTCCTTGATCAAATTGAATTCATTGCAGTAACATTGGTTCATAAAATTATATAGGATTCAGGTGTACAATTCTATAATACAGCATCTGTATATTGTATTATGTGTTCACCACCCCCAATGAGGTCTCCTTATATCACCATTTATCCCCCCCATACCCTCTTCTACCTCCCATGGCGCTTTTGGACACCTGGGTACACATATGTTTGCACACACATGCACATCAGCTGTTGTTTGCACATACATGCACATGCCGACAGGACAGCTTTTGTGCCTGTCTAGACTTTCCGAGCCATGGAGCCAAGAGGATGCACAGATTCGCCCTGGAGAGCTGATGCAGGGACATCAGTGCAGAGAGAAGTGACAAAGACCATGGGAAGGTACTCACCTGGGTCTCCAGGGTGATCAGTGGACTTGGGTGTGGGTCCTGTGGGAAGAAAGGAGAAAACACACATGAGTGGTGGGTATTGAACCTACTGCTCCAGGATCATTCAAACCAAAGCTGGATCTCTTCCCACAGGTAAGCCGCCCACAGGTAATCCACCCAACTCTGTCCCCCCAATTCTACAAAACATGAGAACAGAGTGGTCCAATCTCCAATGTCCCCCCAGTCCCCAGATGATTAAGAAGATTCAAGTTTTTCATCAAGAGGTGAAGGGAGCACCTACATGGAGATCATGCAGAAGGATGAAGTATAAAGAAATAAGAAACAAAGCATCCTCACTGAAGAGCCCAAAGTGTGCTCAAACTCTCCATGTGAAGGGAAAGTTGGTCCACAAGAGGATGAGAAATAAACCCAAAAGTATATAAAGTCCAAACTAGAGGCAAGGCCACCAGCTTGTGTCTGATCTTGGAAAGATTGAAGGAAGAAACAAGACAAAGAGAAGGGCTTAATTCCTAGTCTGCAGAGCCCATTCCAACGGGCTGGGAAGATCCTTTTCAGGAGAGAGAAGGCCGGAGAAAAGTCCAATTCATTCACTCTCTACAAAAGCCAATTGACTGAAAGTGCCTGGTGGTCATGTCTTGGGTCATTACACATGAACTCTTTGGGCGGGGGCCAGCGTGGGCACACAGAGGGAAGGGACTGATGGGAAGGAGGCAGTGGTTTTCAGCAAGCAGCCTCCAAGAAAAACAGGAAACCCAGCACATAAAGGCTATTTTTGTCTGCACAATGTTGGCTCGGAACTTAACCATCTTGGATTGGTAACTCTGGGAAAGCAACCTCGAGTTGCCTCTTACAGAGAATGGGCATGACGTGCAAGCTCAGTTGGACGCTTTGCTTTGTCCAAGCAGGTTTGCCAACACAGGCTTCGAGGAAGCCATGCAAATGAGCACCAGCTCACTGGCCTGTATGGTGAACAAGAAAGAACACGTCTAGTAATCATGCCATATTTGTCCTCTGTCTCTAATTTATTCACTTGGCGTAATGTCCTCATCCATGTTGTCATATAGGGCAGGATCTCCTTTTTGGGGGGCTGAATACTATTCCATTATATACACATACCATCATCCATCAGTGGACGTTTAGATTGTTTCCTTATCTTGGTTACTGTAAATATAGCTTAAATGAACATGGAGGTTTAGATATGATTTTACTTAAATGAGGATTCTAAAATAGTCAAACCCGAAGAAGCAGAGAATAGAATGATGGTTGCCAGGGGCTGGGGGAAGGAAACTGAGCGTTGCTGTTCAAAAGGTTTGGAGTTTCAGTTGAGCAAGATGCATAAGCTCTAGAGATCTGCTGTACAACACTGTACCTACAATACATATTGTAAACTTACAATTTTGCCAATAGGATAAATCTCATGTGAAGTGTTCTTAGCACAATAAAATAAAGGACTAATAGAGAAATTGAAACATTTTGGACCCCTACCCTAGATGAAAGGTCACTTTCTGGATTACTCCTCTGTAGTATCTTTACAATGATGCTGATCTAGATATATAAAAGCCTAAGCAACCAGCCAGCCTATTTGTAGCTTATGATGTGCACTGACCACCAGGGGGCAGACGCTCAATGCAGGAGTGGAAACCACAGGCATGGAAACATGGAACAGACTGATGAATCTCAGAGGAAAAGTGGAAGAGATTACCAACAATCTTGTGTGCATACTAGATGCGTATTATAAACTAGAGGCCCAGTGCAGATTCATGCACCAGTAGGGTCCCTTGGCCTGGCCTGCAGGTATTGGGCCCAAATTGGCTCTCCAACATCCACCAAGGGGTCCCGGATTGCGAGAGGGTGCAGGACAGGCCGAGGGACCCCACCAATGCACAAACCCGTGCACCAGGCCTCTAGTTTATAATAATTTTGATGAGTATAAGAACTATGAGCCCAGGGACATTCTGAGCTCTGGTCAGTTCTAACTTTTCTTTTAAGATGAAGGACTCTTCTCCCCCAATTCCATTTCTGAGTCCAATAGCAAGCATTTCTTCAATGGTGCGACTCAACTGGAATTGCCAAAGGAACATCTCACTAATTTCCATATTCCACCCAGGCCCTAAATACTCCTCACACCTAGGAAAATGCTGAGGGGGACATTTCTTCCACTCTCCCCTTGAGGACTTGGGAGAATCTTGGAGGGAATATTTCAGGCCTCTCTCTTCAAACCTTTACTTGCTCCTTCCCAACCGTGAAGAGGTGGTAGCCATGATGGGTGAGAACCTTCCCTGAGACAGTTTTTTCGAGCAAACAGGCTCACTGGCCCAGCTGTCCTTCACGGAGCCCCTCTATCCAGGCCCTTTATCACGGGTACATAGGGAGAGTTGACCCTGTACTTCCAGGCTTCCCATGTTAAGCAAGCACACTCGGCAGGGCCCATTTTTGTCTTTAGGAGTTAAGGCTATCCTCCTGGTGTGTGACAGGCAGCATGAGTCAGATCTGGCCTGCAGCTTAGGGAGTGAGAGCATGTTGCGCCTGCTCTCGGGCTCAGAGAAGTCCGTGTCTGCCTCTGCATTCAGGTCCCATCATCAAGACTGAGACTAGAAGACAAGAGGCTGCATCTAAGATTCAAACCTTAGCCTTATTCTCTAAGCCACATCCTTGCAAAAGCACTGACTGGGGTGTTGGGTGTGTGCCCAGATTAATTAAGTTGTACTTCACAGCCCATGTGGCCATTGTTTGGGGCTCATGCTTCATTGCCCAGGATTCCGAGGGGTGAAGAAAGGAAAAGGCCATTGTGGGCCCCTAACTTCACTGGAAAAGACCTTCCTTGGGAAACCTTTGTCAATTGTGGTGATAAAACCCAGAGCCTGATCTCTGGATACAGTGATGCACCAACCCTTTATTTGATGCCCTAAGATCAGAGACCCAATGGGCACAAGGTTGGGGGTCCAACATCTATTGAAAAGCTTTTGGAAGACAAAAGTACAAATGATACCTATTTAGCTTAATTACTTAGCCAAGAAGATATAGTACTCACAAGTGGCCAGTCATTCACAGGAGGATTCAGTTGCTAAAAGAATTTTGCTCCCCCTCCCGCATCCCCCCACACACCCCTCCCCTGCCCCCATGTGTTGCGCATTTGAAATATAGGACTCTCCCTACAGAGGCACATCTGGAGGATGCAAGGTATGACTCCGTGGTAGTGAGGTCTCACTTGCAGCAGCATCTTCCTTAATTGGAAAGGCTAACGAAGTGGAACCAGGTCAATGATGCTGTCTGCCTAATCCATCCTGTGGGTCTCAATTGGGACTCTCTGCTTTACAGTAGAGTAAACTCCTGTCTGTCAGAGGAAAGGCTCCGAAAGACCAAAGGGGAATTTGTGATGTGCTGTGGATGCTACCCTGGAGTGCTTTCAGAATCTTAATGCGGGTACTAAAGCAAGGAAAGCCCTCTCACAGCAAGTACTGCAATGGCTACATTGGGAAAGTCAAATGCAGACCGAGGTAGGCTGAATCTGTGGCCCTCACTGGCCACCGGTCCCTGTATGCACACTCTCTGGTCCTGTGACTTTGTATGTCTTTGCAGGATATGCTTCCTCCTCCTTTGGCCTCAGCCTTGCCCATCTGACTTGCTTTGTCCAATGGGAGGTTAGCAGCTATGACATAAGCAAGCAGCTTGAAATGTGCTTGTGAGATCGAGCATCACCTCTTGAGCTTTTGCCATTAGCACAAGAAGAACACGCCCCAGGTAGATGCTGGTCCAAGGAGGATGAGAGGCACGCAGAACAGGCCAAGTTTCACCTTATAGCTTGAATACAAGCCCAGCCGACATCAGCCATCCCCCAGCCAACCTTCAGACACAGAGAGCACACATGGGGCAACAGGAGGTTTACATTTGTGAGTACAAGAAACACAGTTTATTCTTATATTACTACTTATTAATTATTGTGTTATTTTCCACACAAACAGCTGTAGGCCTACTGTTGTCCCAACCTGTATATTTATTTGAACCCACTGAGTTTCAGGGTGGCTTGTTATACAGTGAGAGCCTCTTTTTATTGTTTAATAGACACTGTGTTTTTACAAGTTGTAGGTAAGACTCTCCCCCAGCAAAAGGATTATGACTTGCTGAAGGCTCAGATGCTGGTTAGCATTTTTTAGCAATAAAGTATTTTGAGTTAAGCTTTGTACATTATATTTTAATAATGACTATAACATACTTAATAGACTACAGTAAAATGTAAGCATACTTTTATATGTACTAGGAAACCCCAAAATTCATATTTCAGAGGTCTGGAAACAAATCTGTGTCTTTGAGGTACACATGTATGGGATTACTGTGGCAATAATTAACTGATATACTTTTCAAAGATTGACTTTCACAGATCCAATGTGTATTGTGAAAACACTCCAGCCTTGGAAACGAAATGATACATACTCCCTAAGTCTGCAAATATATTCCAGGGGCACGAAATAACTATAACTAATAGCTATGATTTATCAAGAACCTACCATGTGCAGGCTCCTTGCAAGGTGTACACTACACCAAGCAAAGAAAGTCGTGACCACCAGGATCTAGTTCTACCCATGAGTTAGACTTCATCCTTCTTTGCCAAGGACACCAGTCCTTTCGCATTTATTTAGATCCCATTACAACACTAATGGAAACTGTCACTCAAAATCCTCCTGTCCTGAGGTAAAGACAGTTTTCAGTCCTCTGGTTTATTCTACACTTTATGGGCATATAACTTGACCAGGGTTAAGGATAATCATAAATACTAGCAATAATTAACTCACTAAGGTGATAAGTAATATCTAATAACGTGTTAAGTTCTTACCATGTTCCAGGCACTGGCTTATTGTCTATAGCTATATCATTCCACTTACCCCTATAACAATACTGATGTAGATACTACTATTGTTCCCATTTAGAAATAGGCAAACTAAAGACCAGAGAGACTGAGTAGCCTGTCTCGGGTTACAGAGAGAGTTCTGGAGCCTGGGTTCGATCCGAATGTCCTGCCCTAGAGAATCCTATGCTCTGCT